CTAACTCTTCCTCCCTTGCTGTGTTTCCAATCTGGAACAAAGTCACCAAAGCATGAAAGGCAGTGGCCTGGTATCTACTCCTTCCTGTCCAGACTTTACCCAAGGGCATTAGTTCCCTGCATTCCTGGGGTTTATGTCTCCCGTGTTTGAGCTCAGAATGGTCATTTGGTGGAGTTTGGGTAAACAGAGGCATTTCCTAAGGATGCTAGGTGCTTGTGGAATTAAAAATTGCAGATGTGCAATTAATGGCCCAGACATTGAAACCCAATTTTGTCAGAAGCCCTTCTGTGAGTGACCCTTAAACATGAGGCCTTTTTTGTGGTGGCCCCCCAAATATGGAACTCTTTCCCCAAAACATTTGCCTGGCCCCAACCCTACTACCATTTAGGCACCAGGCGGTCCACCCTATTCTCTTGCCCTTTCAGTGGTACTTGGGTTCCCTTTAACCTTCTGTTTCAATCTTGTGGTCTTTCTGCAGGTTCTCCTGCTTTGATCTCGCGGCTTCTTTTTGCAGCTGCATTTTACTGTATACGGTTCCTATAGCTGTAAGCTGCCTTGAGGCTGTTTTTCAGTGAAAGACTAAGAATTGTATAAATAAAATAAAGACCCCCAACTCCAAGCAGTTTACAATCCAGATTTTGACTAGGAGAGACACGACAAAGGTCTGTCTATAGAAAAATATAAAACGTAATATTGTTTACTAACTATGTAACAAAATGTGATTGTTACTTTACCTGACCGGCTACAGCAGTATGTTCCTGCTGGGATAGGATTCTGGAGAATGAGCTTTGGCTTGCACCTGTGAATGCATTGCAATTTGAGAAATACTGGAAACTCTCTGCAGAGTACATTGGCTGCAAAGTATCTTGCACCAATAAGGAGTCAGCTATTATTCTGACAGTGACAATAAGATTTATTTACTACTTTCAGCAGCCTGCATTGCTAAAGAAGAACTAATGGGTATTAGCATAACGATCAGTCTCAGGATTTCCAGTATAATGACATAGTTTCACCTTCGCCAGACTCTGCAAGCTGGTGGGAGGGAAACTGTATGAAAAGATCTCTTGCAGAGCCACTACAATGCAGGCTGATCTGTGTTGTTGTCACAATGGTGAAACTGCAAAGTCAACAGAGATGGTAAAATAAGTTTTTCCCCCTCCTGTGATTTACAATGCTGATAGATTGATCAGAATTCATCTGCCATATTTTATATTTGAAAGAAACGACCAAATTCTATTTTCTTTGTCCTCTTCCTCCCTCTCTTTCAGGGTGTTTACAATTGAACAGAAGAGACTAGAACAGAGAGAGATTCCTATTCTCGGGCTGTGTAAATGGAAAATCTCCCTGTGATACTTCTCCTTGTCAATATTTGTCGAGCTTTAATAGCTGCGCTGCTTAGCAATGGGAAACTTATTCTCTCAAGCTCGATATGAGGCAGAATCTTTCAAGAACTTTTCTCCTGAAGTAGGCCGTCCCCAACTCCTTTAAAAAAGGAGAGAGAAAAACGCCAAAAGGTTTTTCTATCTAATGAGCCAATCTGAATTGGGAGAGAATCTTTATTCTTCATAAAATTTGACCATTACGCTCTCCTGCTTCTCCGCATATTAAAAATACACTAGAGGCCCACAGACAAAAGGGTTGGCTGGTTATAACAAAACAATATGAAAATGTCAGCCTTCCTCACCTCTGCAGTTCCTGGCCATCTCTTCTCTCTGCCGTAAGAACATAAGATGAACCTGCTGGACATTAGAGGAATGCCTCCTGTAAAGTAGGACATTGTTGTTGTTGTTGTTTAGTCGTGTCTGACTTTTTGTGACCCCATGGACCAGAGCATGCCAGGCACTCCTGTCTTCCACTGCCTCCTGCAGTTTGATCAGACTCATGTTGGTAGCTTCGAGAACACTATCCAACCATCTCGTCCTCTGTCGTCCCCTTCATCTTGTGCCCTCAATCTTTCCCAACATCAGGTGAGCTACATTGCCCAGAACCTTTGAGGGCGGAAATGTGCTTCAAATGTGTTTTAAAGATATCTGTACACAGCCACAGTCCAAAATAATATTAATATTAATAAAAGCAAGTATTACCCTTATGGGGGTTATCCTGAAGGTTGTTGTTGTTTAGTCATTTAGTCGTGTCCGACTCTTCGTGACTCCATGGACCAGAGCACGCCAGGCACTCCTGTCTTCCACTGCCTCCCGCTGGTAGCTCATGCTGGTAGCTTCGAGAACAACTATCCAACCATCTCGTCCTCTGTTGTCCCCTTCTCCTTGTGCCCTCCATCTTTCCCAACATCAGGGTCTTTTCCAGGGAGTCTTCTCTTCTCATGAGATGGTCAAAGTATTGGAGCCTCAGCTTCAGGATCTGTCCTTCCAGTGAGTACCCAGTGCTGATTTTCTTCAGAATGGATAGGTTTGATCTTCTTGCAGTCCATGGGACTCTGAAGAGTCTCCTCTAGCACCATAATTCAAAAGCATCAGTTCTTTGGCGATCAGCCTTCTTTATGGTCCAGGTCTCACTTCCATACATCACTACTGGGAAAATCATAGCTTTAACTATACAGACCTTTGTTGGCAAGGTGATGTCTCTGACATAGCGACCCATTTATGGGAGCTGACTTCCATGTCATGTCAAAAAGACATCCCACAGTCAACAAATTCCAAATGGAATTGGCCTTGGTGGGCCACTCACATGCGATCTTGAGAAAGTGCAACTGGCTATTCTCAAGAGTTCTTTTTTTCCTTGATGGAACAGGCTGGTAGTTTAGATGTGTTACTGGATATGGTCATTTCTGGACTCATCTGCTGTGGCCAAGAAGGCCCTTTCTCAATTGCAACCTAAGTCCTGGGGGTCCCTTCCAACGCTACAATTCCATGATTCCTGCTGGCAAACTGTGTCGAACGTTGTCTGTCTGATAGTGCAAGGCCTTTTGTACTAGCAGATGGGCGAGGGACTGTTATGCAACAGAGGCATCCAGTGCATCAACTGTTCTAGCAGCAGCTCCTTGTGCAGCAGACTGCACAGTCTTATTTTTCACAACAAAGTTACCAGCAACCTGCTTGTGTATTCTCAGTGCAACCACTGGTTGCTGGGGCAAATCATTTCGCCAGCGGAACAAGCGTATCGCTAAGTGATACGCTCATCGCTACATTAGCAACTGTCACACACGTCTTTTTAATTGGTCGTTGTGACTATTACCACGAGCCCCAAGTGACACATTTAAGAAACAGTTGCTGCTGGGACAGGATACAGCACCTTGTCTTATCACAGGGGTGAAGAGGAAGGTGCTCGTAGGCCCAGTGTGCTATAAATTGCACTGACTGCCACTATGCTTCGGGCTGAGGTTGAGGCCTAGCAAGAAAGCACCTCCTCCCTACACTCCAGTTGTGTGATCTTTGGATTGGGCCCCACATCTAATGGTGAGGTGAAATTGACAGGAACTGGAACTCCCTTCCAACTTGTGGAAAATCCCACCCAAATCCGGCAATCCAAAATTACAGGGAAAATATTTAAGACCTTTCCATGTCTGCAGACTTGTATGTTGGCCCTTAGCCAGGAGGTTGCGCTGATGCTGAGATGATATTTTTGAGTTACATATATTTTAATTTTAATTACTGTTTGGCGGTGCATATATTTTAATTTGATAGGTTGTGTCTAGCAGCTTTAAATGGATGATGTGTTCTCTTGTAAAGTGTGTTCTGTAGCTAGCCATCTTTCGTGTCTATCTATCTTTGCTAAATTATATAAACCATATCAGTTATTTTTTTTTAAAAGCAGAGAAGCAGGATGGGTACAAGTCTTATATAAATATAAGATGATATGATGAACTCCATGCACTTCCCATTTGGATTCCTCAGTCGTGTACTGATTTGCTACAAATGCATCCATGTCCAAGCAACCTGGTCCCAATTCCTGGAGGATTCAAGAAATATGGAATCCCCTTGACTTATAGACTGAACCTGAACACCAGTGCAGTGTAGAGGTCAAAGTGTCAGACTAGGACTAGGGAAACCCAGGTTTAAATCCCTTCTAAACAGGTCTAACCCTACAGAGATTTATAAAGATTATTGAATTAATATGTAAGCAGTTTACTTAGAATAATATAAAATATAGTTTAAAATAGCAGCAAAAACAGACTTTAAAAACAATGGACATAATAAAATTATCGAAATTTAGATAAAATGCAACACTTTTGAGAACAAAATGAATGTAATAAAATCACATGTCTGGGCTACTTAGCCTAAAGAAAACAGCTTTTAGCAGGTGTTGAAAACAATGAAGACGCCTACCAAATATTTATTGAATAGGAAGTATTTATATTTAATATCGTAATACACACATGCAACTCAGGATCAGGGTACCAGAGAGACCTCCTGCCCTTGTATAGACCTGTAAAATCACTGAGATAATATGAGGAAATCCTACTTGTGGTGCCACACCCCACAGACTATCATAGGGCAATCACCTCAAAACAGGGGTTTTCTGCTATTGCCCCTATACTATGGAATGCCCTTCTCTCTCCCATGCACGAAGCAGAAAACAACAGTTGCCTGAGATACTGTATTTTTTGCTCTATAAGTCGCACCAGACCACAAGACGTGCTGAGTTTTTGGAGGAGGAAAACAAGAAAAAATATATTCTGAATCTCAGAAGCCAGAACAGCAAGAGGGATCACTACGCAGTGAACGCAGCAATCCCTCCTGCTGTTCTGGCTTCTGGGATAGCTGTGCAGCTTGCATTCACTCCATAAGACGCACACACATTTCCCCTTACTTTTTAGGAGGGAAAAAGTGAGTCTTATAGAGCAAAAAATACGGTATAACTTTTTGCACAGCCTTACTCTGACCCATACGATCCGACCCTGTTTTCATTGATTTGAATTTCCGGTTTCTATTTGTTTTTAAATACTCTTATACTGCTGGTTTTGTACTGAATTTTTCTTGGTATTGTTTATTGTTTTTATGGTGCATTAACCAATTTTATAAGTGCTTTGATACATATTCTCCTGGGGTAGCTCAGTCAGTAGAGCATGAGGCTCTTAATCTCAGAGTCGTGGGTTCAAGTTCCATTGGGCAAAAGTTTTCTGCATTGCAGGGGGGTTGGACTAGATGACTTTTGTAGTCCCAGTTGGAAGGGGGCCTGAGACTTATCTAGTCCAACACATGCGCACGCACACACATATATATATCCACACACTTTCACACATATATACATACACACTTTATATAATATTCAGCCATATATAAAGTATCTCTCCCCTGCCCAAATTTCCACTCCCCCCTCACCACATTCTCCAGAAAGCTGTGCAATCTTTGAAATGGCATTAAAGTAATTATATGCGAGTTTCTCACCTACGAACTGGCGAGACTGCAGATTGGAGCGCCTTCTTACAATGGAAGAGATACAAAGTACTCAGTCCCCCTATTTCGTTCTAAATTAGACAAGACTAAATCCTTACAAGTATGGTTGCCCTTTGACAGCCCTTCCTGCCCCAGTCTTAGAAAAGCAATGGGAACGGGGCTCTTGATCACAGCAGGAATGTGTTTATGATCATGCATTGCTCGAGTCTGTTTTTATTTCCCATTTTATGTAAAATGCTGTGGTAATCCCTTTAGAATTCTCCTCAGCTTAAACCTCAGAGGCTGCTCAAGGCTGGCTCTTAATGCCTCAAGAGCACTCCACTCCACATAAGCCCCATATTCAACAGGTAAAGCCTACTTTGTTCTATAGAGACGGCTGGAAATAATGTAAAATTAAAGATTTTAATCTTCTCGCAGTAACTCAGACTGTCCTTAGCCTTCCACAAAGAAGCAAAAGGCCTGCTAACTTTTAAGGGACATGGAGGCGGGGGGAGGGGGAGAGGTGATTGGCAGACGACTGCCTGGAACTATATTGCTAAAAATTTGATTGCAACAATTGGATAGGAAAAACGTAGACGGTCCCATGACACTGTCAGCACATTTTGCTGCTTTAAAAAATAAATAAATCACACACTACAAAACCTAATCGACAGGATTTCATGGCAATTAAAATTGGGACCCAACATATTGAACTCGTTGACTAGTTTAAAAAATAATAATAGCTAAATTAGGCTGAAGAAACTCAAGGGAGCAGGATGCTTGAGACATAGGTGATTGACAATTCTATTCATCTGAATTTTGCCTGGATTTCCACACAATGCGTTTTGTTCTGAGCACAAATGAGAATAATCAAATATTGTATTACCTCTCTGATAAGAATACAAGTTACATTTTGAGAGAAGAAGGTCACCACTTATACATCTATATTGCAGCTAATTTAATGGCATGCTTAGGAATATAACCTATTACAGATTTTCTAGGTAGAAGTTAAATGATGGTTTTATTTTATTTTGAACATTTCTATCCTTCCACAGGGCCAGGTAAGGATCTCAGGGCAGCTGAGTAAGTTGAAGTTAGGATTTAGCTTCCAATAGATTTGTAGCAACTTTTAACTATGCTAAGAAACCATTTCCTAATTTTGTTTGTTTTTCCAAGAAGTAAGTCCTATTGAATCCAATGAGATACACACCCTATTTATTGAGACGTACATCTCACTGTGTTCAATGTGAATTACATTCTAGTAACTGAATGTAGGTTGGCATTCCAAGGATGTGACCCTATGCTTTTGGGTCCCTGACTGGTTGTTCCAGGTGCCATAGGATAGTTCACATTGAGCCCTTGATGCTGGGAAGTGAGATCCAGTGTTGGAGCCTTCCTCCTGGCTGTTCCTGGCTCCTCCAGTAACCTGACCCAACTGATGTTGGTGCTCCACTGGTGGTAGGGCCCCCAAGCAGGTATGTTGAGGGTGTTCTAGGGGTGCTGTGGGAGACAGCTTGTATCTGAAAATCTAAAGACAGTCCAGTGCCGCAATATGCCCCCAGGGAGATGTTTAGTTACATTCCTGAGCATGACTAAATCTCTCCCTCACCTTTCTTTCCCATTGGTTCCAATGGAAGGAGACATGGTGTGCCAGGAAGTAGGTGGACAAATGCAAGAGTCTTCCTCTGCCCTGCCAGCTGGAGTCTGGATAGAATAGTAGAATGGCCTTTGTATTTTCTCGCCACCTTAAGAGGAGGCTGGCTTTTACAGGCCAACTGACCTTGGCCTGTAAACTTACTTGGAAGTAAGTCCCAGTTTTTGTTTCCATATAGGTTATTTGACCAACCTGGTGCAGTGCCCCATGTTCGCCGCAATGCACATATAGAGGCTCTCTGTGCTCTGGGAGCTAATCTGTGTGCTCAGATAAATGGGGACTTGGGTCTGCTTCTGCTTCCTGCTCTTAAATAAGTAGGGAAAGCCACTGAAGACAGAACAACAGGGTGACTGCGGAAATGGAATGGGGGAAATAGGGTTTCATCACTTGAGGAGCCAGGGTGTTTGGTGGGTTTGGTGAGAAAAAGATTCCAAGCCCAAAATGGGCAGTTGATCTGCTTACCAGCTTTGGGCTGGTAATCCTGTTAGCTACAAGAGGCAGAGGAGGAAGAAGCAGGAGTAGGGAACTTTCAGGCCATTCCTGAATTTTGTTTTATTACCATGAAGCTTCCATCAGGGCAGACATTGCTTCTAGATCAGGAGTTGATAATCCCACCTCTTCAGTTGCATTTCCAAAACTCAGGCATGTTTATATGGATACTCCAAATTCACCCCACTTCTAATTTCACCAGTGCAAGGATTTTCAGTTTTCAGTAGATGTTTTCATCAAAAACTGATATCTGTGAGCATTGAACCAGAACTATAAACGAGCACTTTTTGGTGAGTTTTAAAAATTGGTCTTGAAAAGACTGATCTTTGGGGTAACATGTTGAACTTCTTTGGAAAATGTCCCCATGCTCATTTGCATAGCCCTCTCTTGCCTTTAACTTGCCCTTATGTAGTGAAGTCTGACGTTGTCCCATTCACTCCATGACCCATGATTGGCTAGGATTGCAACATGATTCAACCAAGAAGGATCAACAGCAGAACCAGGAAAATAATGGCAACACACAAAAGGAAAAAATGTGAATAATATTCACAAAAACATTTCAGTCCCATAAAAATTGCTCTTTTGACCTTGGAATTGAAACTGGAGAATATCTGGCAGTTCTAATCTCAAAACACAGTTTTGAGATTATGCCTGTCTCTGATGTAGTTTTAAAATCTCCTGAGTTTTATTCTCCCCTGGTACTTTGAATCATCGTAAAGCTTGCCTTTCTTTTTTTAAAAAAAAATGCTGTTCATATTCATGGGTTGGCAATATGTTGTTTTTTAATAAATAAAAAATGAATTTTGCGACTTTGATTTCTGTTGAATGCTTATGAAGTGGAATAATGATGAACAGCAATTTCCCTACTGGAGACTGTGGTTTCAAAACCCAGCTTGAGCTGAAGTTTTGCTAAATTTGGTCATGTCATTTCACTTTTGTTGCTGAATAGCTGCAGGAGCGAGGACTGTTGCTGCCTGTAGGAGGATGGATCAATCTGCAAGATAAGAAAAGAGCTGGATGCAACTGTCTGTGGCCAATCTACACATTAAAGTAGCAAGAGATTCATCAAAAAATCTGCATGGGTGGACATGGTAGAAGACATGCATGGTGTATAGTTTATTTCAAGCATTTGTTTGTGTTTTTCTGATCTCTATATTCTTCTTGTTAATCTGTATTTAAAGCAATTTGAAATCAGGCAACATTCCTATTTATTTATCTTCATGCTTTCTCCCCGCATGAAACTAATGGACCCCAAAGAGTATAGGGTGCAATCCTACTTCTGAAGCTCACTCCATACTCACATGCATATGAGCAACATCTAGCACAGGGAAGAGAAAACATGTCGCACAGCAATGCCCTCCAGATGTTGCTGGACTCCAACTCCCATCAGCCCCTGCCAGCATGACGGGTGGTTAGAGATGATGGGAGTTGTAGTCCAGTGACACTTGCAGGGTCCCTGGGTCCCCAGCCTTGACTTAACATTTACCACCAGTGTAGAGATGACATTGAGGCCAGAACAGGGCCACCCCTATCCCTTTTGACCATTTCATAACCATTTGCTCCCATTAGCAGAGCATGTTGCAAGTGAAAGAAGAATCCTGAGACCCTAACTGTCATTGCGTGTCGCATGCATATTATTGTGTCTGACTATATCTGGAGGAAACTCTTGAGAGTCCCATGGACTGCAATAAGATCAAACCTCTCCATTCTGAAGGAAATCAGCCCTGAGTGCTCCCTGGAAGGACAGATCGTGAAGCTGAGGCTCCAATACTTTGGCCACCTCATGAGAAGAGAAGACTCCCTGGAAAAGACCCTGATGTTGGGAAAGATGGAGGGCACAAGGAGAAGGGGACGACAGAGGACGAGATGGTTAGATAGTGTTCTTGAAGCTACCAGCATGAGTTTGACCAAACTGCGGGAGGCAGTGGAAGACAATAGTGCCTGGTGTGCTCTGTTCCATGGTGTCACGAAGAGTCGGACACAGTTAAATAACTAAACAACAATATCTGGATCTGGGATGACATTTTTAAAAACACACAACTGGTCTTGCAAACTAACTAAGGCAAGGCGCATGGCCTTGGGAGCTGAACCAATTCTAAACATAAGCTTTAAATTACCTGTGTGGTTGGGTACTGTTCTTTCACTCCTAGTCCTATTCCAGTAGCCTGCAGGCCCATTATATAGTCTATTATCAAGTAATCCTAGATGCAGCAAAATATTCAGGACACTCCTGCAAAAATCTCCCTTTTGTAATAAAACCTTCCACTGTTCCCCTCCTCTGGGGAAATCCCCATTACCTTCTCTCCCAAATGGTGTGTCTAAACATAACAACTGAGCCTTCCCATCAACAATTATCCAAAGAGACAAACAAGATAATTCCTTGTGTGCCTATGATGTCAGAGGCAGATGACTGCATCCTCACTTAGCAATACAGGCCAGGCTCCGGGAGCCAAATGAAAATGAGCAGTGCGTGGAAGTGGCTTTGTCTAAATGGATTTTCATTATGGAAGAATCGAAGGCGTTTAGAAATTGCTAACGTTCCCTGGCAGCAAGCAAATGGCTGAGTCAACATCACTCTGAGTCCTTAGTGCTT